TGCCAAGTTGTGCCAATTGTGAAACCATAAAATGACTTGAAATGACACATCTCACCAATAAATCACGTGATTTTAAGTTGGTGATTATTCGTATTTATAGTTTTCTATTGACGTTAACGACTGTAGAAAGCCAACCTCGCAAACCCCGTTGGACGCGCAAGCGCAACCCATCGGCAACACACAGATATATGAAACACGTAATTAATATCCGGCTTGATATAATATATGCATAGTAAGCAATAATACATATGTCATAGAATAATTTGATAAACCGTATTTTCCGCAAAAATCTAGGGATATCGCAAAAGCACGGATAATTAGACAATGGCTATGACATTTCTCAATCTTACTGAAAAAAGGAGTTTTGCGAAAACACTGGTTGCTTTAGAAACTTTGAATATACTGATTGGTTTGATTTTGGTTCATAGGCCAATTCTTATTGTGATTGGTTCCTAGTTTTACCTTGTAGGTTTGAAGTATTTTGTCATGTCACGACGTTTTTGGAAATGGTGGAAGTAATAAAATATGTTTACTTATCAAAGTAATTATAAAAGTTAACATTTTGATGTTTTATTTGGTGCAAGAACGAGCGAAGCGACCTCGGAACTTGGGGCACCCCGACTCAGACAGGTTAGGTTAGTTACTTTGATATTACTTTGGCGGAGGGATGACGCCCCTCCGGCAGGTATCTACTGACGGTTGGACGACGAAAAAAACGATTTATAATAGCCAACGATTCTTTTCGCAATCTTTACTAAAGCGAGTGGCGTTTTTACAAAATCCCCTATATTTTTTCAGTAAGATTGAGAAATGTATAACTATCCGTGTTTTCGCGATATCCCTACATTTTTGCGGAAAATTCGGTTTATCAAATTATCCTACGACACATACAAAAAATCGGTCAACATAAAATTGAAGTTTGGTTTTCAAGTGCTAATTAACACCTAGGTGGAAAAATAGTGTTATAAACAAATCAAAGTTATGACGCAAAAGCACAGATACAAAAAAAGCAACGACTCTTCGGTCATAAATCACATATCTTGAAATATCAGTTGCAGTAGGTTAAGGTTCGGCTGAGGTAGCCCTTGGGCCACCCTAAAGCCGCGTACATTTATATAAAATCGCGTCCGTGTGGACGTCTCGTTGAATGAAATTAATAGGGTGACCATGTGCCATATAATGTCTAGGCTGACTGAAAGGTTAAGCTAGTTGGATGCGACATATATTATAATACTCTCATATGCACTTAGTAAAACGCTGTTATTTTGACATTACAAACAGACACTTCAATTTTATTTATTTGTATAGATATATAAGTAGATTTATTGCACCGTAGAGAATTAAGAAACAGTTGCAAAGGATTTGACTTCGATCAAATTCCAATTGCTCATATTTAAGACATGTGTTCATTCATATTTCAAATTGGAATAAGCAACTTAGGTTTATAGCCTTATTGTTTATCGTTGTAACTTATCTTAATGGACAGTTAATAAAACATAATATACAGTTGTTAACTCCAACAAGGTCAGTATGTTATATTACGTCTAATATTCATATTCATTTTATAATGCAGGTTGTATTTCGTCTTTCTCATTATCCGCATATACATACTTAATCATTACAGGCGCCTTTAAAAAAACAGGAATTTAAAAAAAGAAATTATGTGATATATTCGCCAATTATAAACCAATTTTCTGCCGACTTCCAAAAAGGAGACGGTACTCAATTTGACTGTATGTTTTTTTATGTGTGTTACCTCATAACTTTTTACTGGGTGAACCGATTTCGATGATTCTTTTTTATTTAGAAGCTGGTACTTCTCTTCTACTTTTGTGGTCATAGTGTGGCCATATGAATTTGATCAAGGTCAGAGGAATAGTTTTTGAGTTATAACGTTAATAACTTATATTGAAGTCGGAATTTCATCCCATTTTCAAGCATGGACGGAACGTTATTTTTTAGAAATGTGAGATTGAGATCATGGTGCATTACTGTTTCTCCTTTCTTAAATAGTTCAAAACATTTGATAAAATTGGAGTTTGGAAAATACTAGCAGGATATTTTAAATATTATTCATCTCTTAGCCCTTATCAGTATTAAATGGTTCCGAGTATGTTTTTAACAATTCCGCATATAGACGATACAGAATCTTTTCTACATCATACGAATACTCGTAAATCATAACACATTTCAGCAAAAAAATTCAGACGTTTCATCAATCTCCAAGCCGAAAAATTACACTTATTTTTTGTAGATATTTTCGGTTAGATTGTAAAAAAATCTTATGGTCGATAAATAAGATACGAATTAATAATTAGGCGACTGATGCGGTAATTTTTTTTAATAGAACTTGAGTTTATGAATTACGTCATCATAAACCATTACAGTAGAACGTATAATGTATAAGTTGTGAACATTTACTAACCTTAGCATAGGTACGCATTAGTTAAAGATAAATGTTTCGTAAAAATCTATTCGATCGAATTCGATTAATAGTGATGGGTTAGGAGCCTTTAAAAAACGAAATGTGACAAACGAGCACAAAGTCCACTTGATGGTAAGTGGATTCCGTGCCTGATAGCTCATACATATCTATTCTCGATTTAGAATCAAACTTCAGATGCGTTGTTACCCCGGGGAACTATGATGAAATATTTTTTTACCAGTAAGGATTTGTGGGGGTCACTCACCATTTGAAACACAACATAATTATGCTGCTATTTCACACTGGTATCCTGTGCCAACTGGTATTCACTGCTGGCCGTATGAGGACGCTCAAGGTCGCTCAGCGAGCTATGCTCGGGGTTTCTCTGCTTGATAGACTTCAAAATGAGGATATCCGCAGTAGAACCAGAGTAACCGACTTAGCCCAACGGATTAGTAAGCTGAAGTGGCAGTGGGCAGGTCATATAGCTCGAAGAACCGACAACCGAGGGGAAAGAAGGTTCTCGAGTGGCAGCCTCATACCGGCAGGCGAAGTGTAAGGCGGGTCCCCACAAGACGAGCTCGTAAGACATGCAGGAAGTCGATGGATGCAGGTGGCTCAGGACCGTGCTTGTGGCATTCCTTGGGGGAAGCCTATGTTCAGCAGTGGACTGGTGAAGGGCTGTAATGAATGAATTAATGAATTCTGTGCGAACGAGGTCTTTCCTTGGTCGTGCCGACCCATCTGTGTTGCAGCCCTGATACAACTGCAGCGTGGATCCACGTCAGCCTAATATTTTTAAGGGAAGTTACACTACACAGTTGTTACGTAGCCCAAATCTAGGCAATCTGCTGCGTTGCATCGGCTTACGACAATCACGAGGCACCGCGTCAGCATAACGTAGTTCGTGTCTTATATTACCTGGTTCTAATATTTTACCGTGTGAATCCATTCTACATTCAAACATCGAATTAGAGTCAACTCACTTAGTTGTAATAATTAAATGTAATAATTACTGTAATTCAAATATATACTAAATAAAATTTCCTACTTTTATGTAACCTATTGCTGGAGCCCACATAATTAAGTTATAAGTAACTATCAAAATGCCAATGTATTATAGTAAGAAGTGGTAAAATTAAAAATTTTGTACGACCGACTTCAATACAAATAAAATAAAAACATAAACTCCAAATGATAATTCAAAAACTATAGGTCAGATCTTGATCAAATTTATATGGGACCACATGAGAAGCGCCAGCTTTCAAATAAAAAAAATCATCAAAACGGATTCATCTAGAAAAAAAAGTCTGAGGTAACACACGTAAAAAATACAGTCGAATTGAGTACCTTCTCCTTTTTTGAAGTCGGTTAAAATATTAAGCTAATTGCCAATAATACGAACTTAAAATTCAAACAAATTAAACTATTTGCACCCGGTCCCAGTACCTAATAAAGCAGTGAAACATGTAGGCTGTAGTTCTTTTTACTTCTAAGAATGTTTTATTTATATCTACCGAATCGATAGGGTACGCTGGCATCATACCTTTCTTGCATGGAAGGGCATAAAATTGGTATATTTTACGTATTAAAATATATGAAAAAAAAGATAATTTTCAGTTAGTTTGTCCTTAACAACAGAATACGCTTAAGTAATGAAGTAAAGTTAAGTTAGAGCCTCTTATTGTTCCTCGGCTGGTCATACCAACCATTTCTGGGAGAATAATATACAGAGAAAGATTCACCACGCTGCCCCAGGTGCGTTTTGTGGGCTTTAAACATCCGGGATATACAACATTTCAAAGACATACATGTAAAAATATCATTTATATATATATATCTATCTATCTATCTTCTAAACTATAATAAAATTCTAATACGACGTCTGTTTGAACACGCAATAACCTGTGAACCGATTGGGACGGGAATTTCACTGGCAGATAGCCGATGTTATAAGGAGTAACTTATGCTACTTTTATTTTAGGAAAAGAATTAGGGTTCCGCGCCAAAAGAATCAAAACCTATTCCACACAGGCGAAGTTGCGGGGAACAGCTAGTTGTTAATATTATTATAAAAAAATTAATCATGAAGGTTTCCTCGGGATATTTTTTTTTACTGCCAAGCGCAAAGTAACGAAGCACATAAAATTGCAAGTGACCAACTCCGTGGTGCCAGTTTGCGGGGTTGAATTAGGCTTCCCTAAGCTAAAAAGTTTACCTTGTAATGGCGGTGTAAGAATATCCACTACCCCATACCATCCCGTGGGTGTCGTAAGAAGCGACAGAAGGAACCAAATCAGAAGAAGGGCAGTAGCGTCCTAATGACGCCTAAAAATAAAAAACTGCGGTTGCCATCCCGCTTGCCAAACGTGACAACTATAGTAAGTACCCCCTATAATCTATGGGGAGGCCTATGTTCAGCAGTGGACTCTAATTGGCTGTAACGGTAACGGTAAACTATAAGGGATACTTTTTAATTTTTATAGTTACATTGCATTAAACTGTACACAACCTAAAATAGACCACTAGTGCCCACAAATTGCTTGTTATCACTAAATAAAGTCAAAAAACTCACCAACTAATGTATACTTTATCAGGCACGGGTGACAAAGATTGGTGATAGGCTGCCAGTGCTCATTGTTCACCACGTCAGCTAGCTCTTCCGACTTGTTGGTCAGGAACATGGCGAACTCCTTGAACGTGACGTCATGGCCGTGTTCTAGCGACTCGTTGGAGGGATTCTCGCGGTAAGCTCGAATAATTCTCTTGCCTACTCGGTTCTGAAAAAATTTTGTGATTTTAATATCTTTTTTTTAAAATATTGTTTCTGATATTTCCAATAGTCTGGTCCGTGCTTAATTCATATGTAGTTAGTTCAAAAAAAATCAACGAGAACGTAATTTACAGTCGACTTTAAAAAAATGAAGGAGGTTCTCATTTCGACGGTATGTTTTTGTATGTGTTACGCGATATTGTCGGCAATTATGGTGAACAGAAGTTAATGATTCTTTTTATTCAATATGTTACACTTCAAACAATATTTGATTTAATATTATATATTGTGTTCTATATAGTATTTGATGACAAAATTCCGCCACTAAAGGTGGAAAACAGGAGTGAAGTTTTTAATTTATCTATTTAGATAACTTCTGTTACTTGTGTAGTTACTTGTGTATAAGGTATACACAAGTAACAGTTGTCCACTCAAAAGGGTTATAATTTTTGATTAAAATTAATATTTTAATAAAAAATAATAGCCGTCTTCAAAGAACTAGAACAAATAAAATAATTTCACACTTCGAGGTCGGGTCTAATAACATTTTATTTTAGGCTTATATTTTCACGAAATAACGTATTTTTTTTTCGTTAATAATGTGAAAATTTCTTACGTGGTGGTAGAGCCATGCTGCAGCTATATTAGTAGTTTACTTGTAGAACGAATCGGTCGACTCGACCGGGGAAGGACCACGCTCTCACAGAACACCAGCGTAAAATAGCAGCCTAATGCTGCTGTTTCGTATGGTAAGTGTTGAAAACCAGAGACCCTTTTTATTGGAAACGGGGCATTCCATCTTAGTTCTCACGGGTGACAACCGCATCTGCATTTTGATACGTAATCGACGATAGATGTAGATGTCTACGGGCCACAGCAACCACTTACCATCAGGTGGACTGTGTGCTCATTTGTTACCCTTGTCCTATTAAAAAAAAAAAGAGTGTGTCAATTTAGTAACTACAATCTACCCAATTTAATAATAATATCTTTATCTTGGATTAGTATACAGATACAGAGTACAAAACATCACTATACATCCGGTGTTTATCTTCACTGATAGCTTATGGAACCATCACGTGGCTCTTAACTACGGTGTTATCCACATAATATGAAGTTCAAAATCAATCAGCGAGCTATGAAGTGTTATGCTACGAGTTTCTCTGCATGATAAAATTCAATCACCGACCATGTAGCTTGCAGATCACCACTAGAGTAGAGAGATTACAGCACCCCCTTAATTATTAGACAGGTCCATGTCCATCAGCATTCTGCCATACAGGCGTGTACTGTTATGTTACATTAGACATTTATTTTTCAGTGTAAATGATCTTATGGTTTATTCCAAATTTTACACGAAACTCGTAAGTGTAAATATATATGTCACGGCCAAAAGCCGAAGTTCGGATACGCCTAGGTTTAGCCGGCTACAAAGCAGGTGCAGCCAATTGCGGTGGCTTTGGTTGCACTCTACGATTTATTTATGGCTATGAGAAGATATATCTAGTTGCTTTTGGCTGAAACTAAGCCTTGTTAACGATTAAAAATAACTGAGTATTGTGCTAAAATACGAAAGCAATTCACCTGTTTATATCTAAGAACTTGATAATAGTGATGAGAAATAGGTCGACATTAGGCAATAACTTTTGCAGGGAACACGCTTTGTACTTTCGATTGGTATTATTTATTTTTTATAAAATCAGAGTGATAAACGTGCACACATTCCACCTGATGGAGTGGATGCTGTGACCCATAGACATCTGCATCTATCCTGTTAAGAATCAAAATGCAGATGCGTTGTCACTCCTGAAGACTAAAATGGAATGCCTCACTTCCAATAAAAAGGGTCTCCAGTTATCAACACTCATTATACGAAACACAGCACCAGCAGTATTAAACTGCTTACGCTGATATTCTGTGAGTGTGGTCCTTCTCCAGTCGAGCCGACCTATTCGTACTACAACCATAATATAACTGCAGCATGCCTCTACCATGTATTAAATATGTTTCGTAAGCAAATGAGTGAAATATTTTATTTTAATTTATGGTAGCTAACCAGAGTATATTTTAGGCAACCCATCCCCGGATCAGTTTACATAATATATTGTTTGATAAAACTACTTTTTTTTTCGGGGAGTAGGACGATGTTTGTTTAGATCTTGTACATGTTTATAAATATCATTAAAAAAAAAAACGCAAACAAGTTTTCCACTTTATTATAAGTGTTTATGGCCCGAACTTGACTTCTGCAGAGTCTTGAGCTTGGACTATACGTAAACTAGTTATGCCTATGTACACTCTAAGGTCTTGAGCCAGTTAAAATTTTGTATTCAACGCACAATTGCACACAACTTGACCGAAGTGTGAGAGTGACCTAGAAACGTCTTGCATTATTCGTCGACGGGTACAGTAGTAAGTGAAATTCACATGTGGAACATTGTTTACGATAGTGTCATAAGAAGCTTAGATACTGTAGTGTATGTGCCTTCACCCTACTAGTAGTATAAGAAATACATGTACTTTTAAGTTTATTGATCAGTATAATTAAAGAATTAGTCTCAGCAACACGTCTTCTCTTTCATTAACACCTGCCGACATCACATGGCGACCCTGCCAGGCGGTGCGCTGCGACAATGCATGCGCACCGCCGGGGCCTACGACATAAAAAAAAGATAAATAAAAATATTATAAGAAATTTAAATTAAATAATGAAGTGAAATGACAGATAAAAGAAATATTATAACGGAATGGACGCAATACCGGATGTGACGAAAAATTAAAAACTATAACGTATATGAAGTAATATAATATATAGTGCCACCAACTTATCTGTTCAGGTGGACAAAATTGGAACTAAAGCCGCCATTTTGTAAATGACATTTCGCTGTCAGCTATTATTTATTCTGAGCTATCAGGTGAGTGTTTTTAAAAAGTGTCAATAAAAAGCCTAAAGGTCTTAAAAGTGATGCGCGATAGATTATCCTAAAATTTTTATCATTTATGAAAGAAGAGAAACGTTTACGAATCCCACCTATACCATTTGAAAAGCTGTAAGAACGCGTAGCTGCCGCGACAGGTTAGTATTGCCAGATATGGAAAATTAAAATCACCAAATAATGTACTTCTGAAACATAGTAAAAAAATTATCTCAATTTACTGCAATTCATCTAAAGTACCTAGCTTTGTAGTTTGTGTTGCTAATGTTCTAATGCCCCAATTAATTGAAGACTTATTTCATAAATTTACAAATAACATTTGTAATCATGTAAAAAAATTGGAACCGTAGCTAACGCGGGTCCATTTTTCAAAACAGAAATTCCTGGAATTCGGCCGCTTGAACTCCGAGATCACGACCACAATTATTTTTATAAAATAAAAATAATATACATAATAACACTAATTCTCACTAATTTTAATATATTAACACGAAATTTGTTTTATTTTATGTTATGTGTAATGAATATGTTGTTACCTATTTACTCGGTGAATTTCTTAAATGGCAATAGTAAGCACTCCACTAGCGACGCTGTCAACTGAACAGATAAGTTGGTGGCACTATATTTATCTTTAATATAACTATGAAGGCAAATAAGAAATAATAATAAGAATAAAAAGTGATTTCTTAAATAATGATCAAAGACCAAAACTCAAGAAACAGCAAATTAATTTAATAAGGAAAGGAGCAGTTGCACTTTAGGGAGCTTTGTCCAGTAAGATATGAAAATTAAACCGAAAAGAAAAAAGAAGATATAAGAGGTAACATCGCATTAGCGTAATTTTTAACATTTGATTTTAATAATTTTTTATTATGTTTTATATTAAATAAATAAGTAATGCATTAAATATTAAGTGCACGGTATTTGCAAATAACTTGAAAATATTTGTCATATTTAACATTTTATAATATTTATAATATTTTAGTAGGTATTGTATTTAAAAAAAAAACAATATATTAAGTTACATTTTACAATGCAAGGTTCCTATTAAAATAAATATATTTTTTAATTCAGTCCTATATTTTTTTCCGTAATAAATTTTGTTTAAATGTAAGTATACAATTCTGAAAAGGGTTTTAAAAAAAAATCGCTATTATTATAAGTCATAATTATTTTTCTTCTTTTCTAAAGGCATGAAAACCTTAAAGTAACTATATAGATAACCTTTAATAAATGAATGTTTAAAAAGTGAATGTTTTTTTTTAATATAAATTTAGCTGTAATAGTGATTACATATTATTTTCTGTAGGTTATACGGTTTCTTAAATTTCTACAAATCCTAAATTTTTATATGTAAATTGAATGTATAACTAATGCTAATATATTTTTCGTTATAATTAAAAGTAATAGCGATGCGATGTAATTATACTATAAACTTCTGTATCAGAAAATATTTAAAAGTATCATTATAATGTGATAAGGAAAATAATCATTAAAAGAGGTTTTAATAATAATGTTTCTTAACAAAGTTAAACACGGACATGAAAAGTTGACATATATTACCTCATTTTTTTGTACAATATTAAAAAGTATATATTTAAAAGGCGTGAGGAATGAGAGAAGGAATGTTCAAATGTGTGGATACGAATGATTGAATTGCTAAGTTTCGTCAATATTGGACTGATCACCCAAATATTTGATGATGCTTAAAATCCTGGTATTGAAACCATTATGAGCGAGAATTATGAAAGTTAGTAATGGAAATAGAGTATGAAAGTATATAAAAGTTACCGATACAGTCAAGTTGATAACAGCAGGTACTATAAAGATAAAGAAAGAAATAAAAATTTACGAAGAGAATCAAAATAAAATAAAAGATGACCTTGATAAATAAATCATGGAGAGATACGGGAACGTCCATCACTGGTAAAGCATATAGTCCTCGAGCAGGGTATGTTTCCATGATTGGATGATAAAATCGGAAGTAACGGGTACTAGGGAACAATACCTTCAGTACAAATGAGATGTGAACGAGTTTACTCATATTAGTACTGTTGGGGACCAGAGAAGT